AGGATAATTCACAAACTGCCTTCTCTCCCACATGATGATAAACTTTCTGGCATTTGATGGCACTTTCCAGAGCTTATTTGCTCTTTCTATCACAGCTAGTGTTCTGCATCAGGATTGTCTTTTTAATAAGTATATTTTTATTATTTAATTTTGCCTGAGATTTTTTCATCTGGATATTTTTAAGATGAGTAAGGATTTTTAAGATTGGATTTCTAAATGTTGAGCTGCTTGATGGAATTGTAACTTTCATAACTGATGAATAATGCATTGCCACACAAGTGTTTCAACAAACTTTCTTTAAAAATGGTATAGAAATTGTTCCTTAGTAGCAATAAAAGTACAATGTGTAATGACTGTGTGATTATTTTCTTCTTAATGAAGTAAGGCATTCTTATTCTCACTTTCAGGAAGCACAGGCTTACGCAGATGACAACAGCTTATTGTTCATGGAGACATCTGCCAAAACATCTATGAACGTAAATGAAATATTCATGGCAATTGGTGAGTTTATGAACAATCTGTGGATTAAAGGGAATTGTTTTCATGCTTTTTATACCATCACAATATTCCTAACCCAAGGTCTTTGTTTCTCACCCAAATTACTTCTGGCACTGAAGTTTCCTTAGGCCCTTTCATATCCTTTTTGATGTTTAGAAGTGTGAACATCTTCAACTTAGTTGAAGTACTGTTGCACAGCTCTTTTGTGAAGCACAAAACCACTTGGATTGGCTGAGATAGGTTACTTCTGAATTCTGTCAGCAAGTTCTATATACCTATTTTGATTTCATTATGAAAACTTGTACTGCTTCAAGTTCAAAGCTAAATCAAGCTTTAGTTGTTGTATACAGAAGCCACCTTTCCCATGGTATAGGTAAGCTGTGTAAAGCTATTTGGTTTTTTTAATTGTAAGATGTACTTGGCATTTGTTCAATTAATGTAAGAATATAAGTGAAAGTGTATAAATGTGCGCCTTTGATACGCTGTTTGCAGCAGATTCCACATGGCTTGGGATGGGTACAGAGTCTAGAATAATGTATCTTTTATGAGACAGTGGTAATTGAAGCTGGAAACATTTCAAAATGAGAGAATGATAATGGACTTTTTTTAAAAAAAAAAGTCAAGTATTCATTTTGGTCTAAACAAAATATTTGCAAAATATACTTTTGTGTTAAAATTTTGTTTGAATTCCAAATGCAGCTACCTGAAATCCAGAAGTTGTACCAAAGACAATAATGTGTGCTTAAATTTGATGTCCGAGTAAAGGACACTGCATATGAAAATTGAAGTTACTAGTATACTTATAGCGCTAACATAATCTTAGGGATTTCTGTAAAGATGCTAACATGTCATAGTAAGTATAAATTGTCAAGAAATTATGTGTATTCCATTGAAAGACATGAAATTGGAATTTACTGCTAATAATTTTTTCTAAGTGGAGGAAAAAGAAAGCATACATTTTTAGGCTTGTCACCAACCTATTTAATAATATTCTTAATCACAGTAATGGCTCTGCTACCAGGGAATAGCAATATGTAGAGTTAAATAACCTTATTAAATCTGTCCTGTATTTTGCACCACTATGACCTCTGTATTCTACTTCTTTCAGCATTGATCTCAAAATTAAATCTTTTTAAAGAGCACTTATCTTCTACTTTCCAGGGCAGTAAAGCAGAAGGTAATTTGTGGTGTTGGTTCAAACTTCCAGCAGATACAAATTAAATTATTGCTTTAGCAACACTTTATAACAAGTACTTCATATTAACTATAAATACTGGGGGGGAGAAGACATACCTGTGTGAGTGGAAAGTATATTTTTCTCATAAGGGCTCAAGATAGGCCTGCTCAATTACATTGTTCTGGTGAAATTTTAAAATGAAGCTCTTTAAGGGTGCACTTTGCATCTTGGTTTGTTTTTTTTAAAAAAAAACGCAGTAAAATTAATCCCTAAAATCTGATTATTTTTTTGTATTTGTTGTATCAGCAGTAATTCTTACCTCCCCATATTTTAATGAAGTATGCAAAGTAAATTTGAGAAAGCAATACCTAATTAGTGCCTGGGTCTTTTGTCTGCAAGGTTAGTTGTCCATGTGAGTATTCTTTCACATCAGTGGGTGAAATTCAGATTGTCAGTGCATCAGAACAAGATCTGTGCAGTAGTGGGCCCCAAAAGAAAATCTAATTGAGGATATAAGTATTGCATGAAACTTGGAATTGCCTTTTGAAAACATGGATGCAGTTCTCAGGACCATGTGTAAATATGATCTTCAAAAACGGGAGAAAAATGAAAAAGAACATGGATAGAATGGAGGGATACATGCTACAGTTGCTTATAAATAGCCCTCTTTAGAACTCATTCATAACTTAATTAATCTTAATTTACAGTTCTAGAATCAAAAAAGACAGTGCTATGATGGCATTTTTCTACTGGTGCTTTGTCCCTTTCTACTGTCAGCAGCTTAGTATCACTTGAACTCTTGGGGTCTGTCACAAAATTGTAGAACAGCCCTAAGTGTGTACTGTGTTGGTTATCTGGCTGTTACACTTGAGTTTTATTCCTTTTAGGAAAAGGTGTTCTTTAACAAGCTGGCCAAAGAAATTTGGAGTTGAAGCATGCAGCCAGGCTGTAGATCAGGCATGGTTGTTGGGTCTCAGTAGCATGGATGAGACAGCCCCATGGAAGTCCTTTATGTGGAACTTAGAAATTCTCTGGTGGAGAGAAAGCTAGGAAGAGCTACTGCTCAGAAGGGTAACGTTTGTCACCCTATTTTTCGTGTCAGGACTGAGGGGGGTATCCTGGAGCTACAAGGGCAACAAAGAAATTATCAGTCAATTGACTCGTAAGAGCTGAAGAAAAGACAGCTTGAAAAAGGCAGAGACTTGATCTAGTGCTGAGGGCCATTTTAAATGCAAATATTTATTCTGGCTAGAGAGTTGGGCAGTAGCTTGACCCATTTCTGTCTGTCTGCATTTTGTGCATTTTTAGTCTTGTATCTTTAGCACTAGTGTCCTGATCTTAAAGACTGTGTAGGTGGATTCCCACAAGAGCCATCGTTTACTGGCATAGCATACCTGAACAGATACACTTTACTGCTCAAGTTACTAATGCATTTCACTTGAAAATCATATATAAGGTAGTTAATCATTAAGAAGGTGTCATCTATCCTTACCAATACAGTGAATCAAACAAGATTTCATAGTGATTATATTGATATGGTTATAGAGTAATAAAGTGTTGACTGTGTATTCAGGTGACTTAATCCAATTTTAACTCTCCTTGTTTTGTTGATTTCATAGCAAAAAAACTGCCCAAGAGTGAACCACAGAATGCAGGAACCAATTCTGCCAGAGGAAGAGGAGTAGACCTTACTGAACCCACGCAACAGCCCAAGAGTCAATGTTGTAGTAACTAAAACATCAATTGCTTTAAACTGTTCTGAATATTCTTCTGCTTCCTAACTGTTAATAACCATGGAATTGGAGTGCTTAACCTGGCCCAGTACAGCTTCCAAACAGCGAAGAGACTTACGGTAATAGTCAAGTTCATGATACAGGGTTTTCTTTTGACCTAAATTTTTAACATGCATGTATCCACCACTGGCTGTAACGTTTCAGCAGCAGAGGAGAGAAGGAAGTGGAATAAACTTCCTTCAGTTGAAAGGTTTTAAAAATCACTTAGGGGTGTAGAAGAACTACTCTCCGTGGACCTGATTAGCCAGTTCCTTTAGCCTCAATACTGATTACTGTTATAACAAACAGAATTGGGACTTTTCATAATTCTGAATTGTGCTTTAAAACCTTTTTAGAAACAGAGTTTAAAAATTACTTAAACTTATTCACAGTATTCATGCAACCAGTTGTTTCTGCAGGTATCCACTGTTCAGTTATACATTCCATAGTTTAATAATTTAATTACAAATAATACTTGCATTAACAATTTTAAGAACCCTATGCTTGCAGGAAAGTGGAGTTTTAGTTGGTACACTGTATGTAAATTATATCAGTCCAGTTAGTTATCTAAAGGAATTAGCGATAAATCAAGTTTAACTTCATTTCTAATCTATTCAGAGGGTACAGACCAGTCAATTCAACTTTGACTTAGGAATTTTTTTTATTTTTTTTTTTTTTTCCCTCTACAAACTGTTAAGAGCTCTTCAATTAAAACCACAACAAACTTGGTGTCTGTGACTTCTTTCTTGGTTTTGATCCCTTGGTCAAACCTTGATTTCTTGGTTTTGGCTATTACAGTTTATTTTTCCCCTAAGGAAAAAAATAGTGCACTAATGATTATGTACATCCAGCTTGATTTTAAATTTGGATATTAATGTACTGTAAATAGGTACTCTGCATTGTAGTCTACATTTGTTTAATACTTTCTGTAATATTTAAGAGTTGCTTAAAGGTATACAGAATGTACAGTTACTTAAAGCTAACTTTTTTCCTCTCTAATCAAAGGGGGTTCTAAGTTCTTCCTTTATGGCTAGAACAGTAATAAATGATGCTCCTGTATCTGTAACATAAGTACTGCTGTCTGTCAGTAATGAACTTTGCAACTTTGTTTTCCAAAGTACATTTTATTTTGATCTGTCCAGTATATTGCACTAATTCTTTTAGTTATTTTCATTATATGAAATCTACCAAGTGTGTCAGAAGAGATGAATTAGTCTATTTAAATGTTGAACTGATAGCAGAAGCTTACTTGTGCAGATTTTAAATTTGCAGTAATCTGGGTTTAGCAAGGAAAATGGCAGTTCACCAGTGTTTAGTTTTATATTGAGGTGCTCAGGTTTGAATAAAATGGTTTAAAAAAAGAGGTTTTTGATTATTGTTTCTTACTGAGAATTTCAGAAGGTTTTATTGCATTTGCACAGTTCCAGACGAGGTGTCTGATTTACTATGTGGGTCAGCATTTAAGATGATTGCAAGTAAATTCATGACACAGATAAATAAAAGCTTGTATACCTATATATACTGTGGCAATCCAGTTATCCTATGATTATTTTTTAAGTGCTGAGGTAATTGGGTATCTTATCACACCCATTTAGAACTACCATCAAAATAGTAATATACATTGAACCTGCAGCTACTCCACTCTTTACCAGTTGGTCACTAACGTAGCTTCCTGCATTGTCATAGAGTGTCTCAGAGGTGCCTCTTCCTGCAGTTTGTGATTCGCAATTAGGCAGGTGTGTGTTTGTGTCCTCTTCAAACTGCGGTGGTGGTCTAGAACCCACTGATGATACGGTCATTAGCAGCTTTGGCCTTGCAGGTTTGTCACAAAATGTCTTGGAGTCCATTTTTTCTGCCAGTTGTGGACCTGAGTCATAATTAGATAGGTGTGCTTTTGTATCCCTGGGGAGCTGGTTGATGTCTTTAGACCCTATTGCCAGTATGTTCTCTCGCAGCTGTTTATGGGTGCAACTTTGAGCTGTTGCACAAAAAGCATTGGTGTCTGTTTCTTGCTCTGCAGCCTGTGACTGTGGCTAAAAACTGTTACATAGATGAACTTCTCTGTCCTCAAACTGTTTCAGTTCTTCAGAACTACTTTGTGCTCTAGAATCTGGCTGGTTTATATCTCTGTTCCATGAATTTACTTCATTCTTACTGAAAAGAGACAGTTCTGGATCAGGTTGTCTTTTTCGTTTTTTTTGGTGGTCATCAGTTTCCTAAGAAATTTCACTTTGCAAATAGTTCCTTCTAAAATGTGAGTGTGTGCTTTCAAAATACTATGGCTGAATGAACTAATCGAGAGTTTTGGATTCAAAGCTGTATATAGCAGTGTAAAATTTTTAGTACCTGAAAATAATTTGGACATCGTGTAGAATTTACAGTTTACTAACATGATGCCTTAAGCCTTTTCCCCAGTTAAGGGACACAAAGGAGCAAGAGTTCTCATGGTCATAAGAAGCCAAGGACTAACTTCTTTCCTTTAGTAGGGATAGGTACTTTAGCTTTCCATCGACACTGTTGAAATCTGCAGGATGAGAATGAAAAGTCTTAGAAACTGTATTGCTGCAGGTGACTAGTCTTGTCAAACTTCAGTGCAGAGCATAAAGGAAAGCAGCTCTGAAACAAAGTGCTGTATTGTTTGACATCCTCTATGACTATGCTGGGAGATCATTTTTGCTTTAGAGGAGGTTACTGATCTGCTCCCATGTGTTGGCATAAGGACAAAAGTGATGTCTTACAGGAGGAACTTGAGTGGGATGGCAGATTTCCAGACACTAAGCTGGCTTCAGTGTGTTCATTTATATTGTATTTTAATACCATCTGGCTAGACTAGGGCACAGATCTCTTGAAAAATATTTATAAGTAGGCACTGCTTATACAGTAGTTATATTTCTTGGGCAGTATTGGCATTGTCTTATGTACGAGAATGCTAAATGTAGTCTGCGAAGGCAGATTTCTCTGGGAGGTAATTGAGAATATCAAAATGGAGAACACACCTTTTTCAGTAATTATAGAGTGTAGATGCCTTAAGTTATACTATGTGAATGTTTCCTTGTGCTTACTCTCTCTTTCCTCTGATTTTGTTTGTGGAGAGCTAGGAGAGTGTCTAAAATTTCCTTTGAACCCTTGGAGTAAGACCACCAGCTATAAACCTGACAAAGGGCATAATATAACCCATGTGGAACAATTTCTATAAGGAAGAGTAAAATCTAAATACTTTTGGATGCAAGTCTCTTTTCTGCAAACCAGAGACAGGGCAAAAGAATTGACAAAACTTAGCTGACCTGTCAATGTGGAACTAAATGAAGAAGACAAAGTTGGCCAATGCCACCATCTCCTGCTCTGCCTATCTGACCATTCTTTTCAGTTGCTTACCCGGTGCTGAAGGAACACAGTTATACTTCTGTAAAAAAAACATTCCTGAGGGGTGGGAAAATGGAGCTTGATGTTGTATAATTTTTCTTTGATGTAATAACAGTTGGAAAATTAAGTGTATTAGATCAAATAAATGTGTATTAGCAGTGGTTCAAAAATGTGGACTTTAATCATAAAATGTTTAAAGTATCTCTTACCAACTGCAAGCCTTAACTCATTAGCAGAGATTGAGTTTATGATATCTTTTATTGCAACCAGCATAAAAACTTTATCTGGGAGGGAAGGAGGGAAGCTGGTAACTAGAACCAGAAAACTCTGGGTGAATTCTTTACCAATTTTTCTTACCTTTATCTTGCCTTTCAAGCTCATTGTAATAAAAGCAGGTTGCTTTCCCAATAAGATGAAAACATGCATCTGAAAACATTCCCACTTTTTATATGACAATATTATATTCCATTAAAGGTGTGACTGCATATCCTGAAAGAGTACCTGAGCTAGTGCTAAACCACCAGTTTTGGTACCTGTAGCGAAGTTCAGGTAGCTGCAAAATTGGTTGGTTGAGGTAGAAAAAGAATTATCATAGCAACAAGCACTGGGACAAGAGAGAGTAAGGGGGAGCGGGGACAAACCAGTTAGGTGGTTCAGGGTCAGTGCACATTCAAGCTGGTTTCTAGTGTTTCTCACACCGGCAGAGGGTTGCATGTTATTGTTATTAAAATACACTTTCTTCTGGAATAAGTTTTTCCAAATATGGAATATGATTATTTTTTGCCTCATGAAAAAAATGAAGCCTCTCAAATGGTTTTCACTTTCCCCACTGATTTTTGACCCTCTTAATTTCAGTCAAATTCATATGAAGAAATGTGAAGAAGTCTTTCAGGTTTTGTGAATGCACTCATCTGAGAAGGGAGTGCCCTGCTGCAGTATTAGCACGCTCCTTAATAACGCTTGGGGGGATGTGATAGAAAAGTATTACAGTGCTGGGCATGTGTTTCAGCAGAGACTGGAAGATGCTACAGAATGTAACTACAGTTAAAATACAAAATCATTTGAAACTATTCACCAGCTTTTAATATATATATAAATACATATATATTCTGTATAAACTATATAAATATATTTATTAATATATTATATAGAATATTAATATATATAAAACATATTCTGCTTCTATACTCCTTTATGGAATAGCAAGCATTTTGCTTGTAATCTTACAGCTGTCTAATGTACACAAGATAACTGGTAACAAAAATCACCAAATGGGAAGATACAATGACTAGGGTTGCTAAGAATTGCAAGAGCTTTATCTACTGTTGCCTGCAGCAGGGCTGGGTGGAGAAGCAGTATCAGTGTTTCTGATTGTAATTAATAACTGATTTTCCACACTATAGAAGGGCAAAGCAGAGTTGTACGTCTCATGGAAATAGGTCTTTGTTGAGAACAGTAAATAATAACCAATTCCTGTTTCAGAAATTGGCAATTGAGAACATCCCCACAGATCATGCTTCCAGTTTGCTGGTAGCAAAATGTAGTGGCACTTAGTCTCATGAAATAAATGAATAAACATAATATTTTAAGCATGTTTCATTGACACAAGAGATTTATCAGATCTAAAATAATCTGATTTCTGATAACTGTCTTTCATGTTAGTAAATTGACTTTACTGCTAAACTCATTTACTGAGGCTACTCATCTAATAAGCTTAAAACTTATTGTCTGATACCAATATCAGTTGCAAGGGAATTTGTCATGTCTCCTTCACGTTGTCAAGTTAAAGCATTTGCTCCTTTTTATCTCCAGCTATCTACTGCCAGCAAATCTCGGTCTTATTTTTTCTCCTGTTATTTGGTGGAGGAAAAAAAATCCTGGTGTGGAACGTACATATCTTCCAGCTATGGGCCATAAACCCGCAACACCTTTGGCTGTCCTGGCTAATGGGCTGTGTGTTGTTTTCGAAGTGTCTTCTTTCTTTTTCCTCAGTGCCATCTGTCTCTTTGCTGGGGATTCCTTCTGCCAAGCAGGTAACTGCTGAACAGCCACTACAGGGAACTTTGGAAACCTCATTCGTTCCCAGCGGTAAAAGCCTATGCATTCTCCAGAAGGGCTTGGCATACGCTTTGTGGATCCATTCGTAAGTATGGGTCTCGTCGTTGCCTGGTTTATCAGAGAAAAATCTCTTTCTCTCTGTAAGCTGCCCTGATCAGTGTGGCACAAGAATCTAGAACTTGCCGTTTATCCTTTCATAGGAGGAAGCCACTGGTGAAAGCTGGTCTAGAAATAAAAGTTGAAGCTTTGCTGCAACTGTTTGCAGCTGCCACACCATGAAAGCCATCAACTAACCCCCCAAAACATCTGACCTATTTCCATAATTGTCAAGCACAACAAACCTGTCTTCCTTGTCTCCCTGTCATGCGGAGTTTCTGTCTTAGCAAATTGATAATGCATTTATTAAAGAATTATTTATTTTCGTAAAAGTACTAGGATTGTTAATACTAGCAAGATCACAATATGATGTGGGAGTGTGGTTATCCGTAAAGAATTCAAATGAATAATCTTCTGCTTAATGTGTCTCAATATTTAGGAATCTGGATCAATTTTGAAACTAGTTCGTGTCTCTAAGCCAAAAGATTTTTGTTGTCAGTCTTCGAGGGTTATCAAAGCCTAGTAAAATTAGGGCTTTGTAGGTTCTTTTATGATAAAGAAGGTGGTATCGGATGTATAGTTTGCTGATATGGAGAGCAAGAAACCTAAATGTGCTTGGAATCTATAATTCTCATATATAATTGTGACCTTCTCCAGGTCATCTTCCTCATCTCCACAGAGTTCAAAATCAGGTGGGTTTGTTTTGTCCTGAGATTTTTACTCCTTTGTTATTCTATAGAGGAGTTGAATATGTGAAGAGTTCTCATATTTTCACATTTTGAATATTTTATTATTGGGTCATACTATGCTACCTAAGCTTTTTCTCACTCTTATAAAGTCTGAATTACATCATTGCATACTAATGCATATGTAGTCAAGAAACTGGGAAATGTGAGATTATAAAAAAAATAGTAACTAACAACTATGTTAAAAATCAGTAAATTCAGGAAGTGAAAATTTTGGAAATACGAAGTTCACAACAATTTAGATTATTCTTGTACCTAATAAAGTTTCAGTCATTTCCTCCTTGTGATTCAGTACATACCCCTATGCATTCACACTTAGAACTGTGAATACAATATAATTCCTCATCACCTTTTGTGTGTCTACTTACCACTTTCCAGACACGGTAAAGGGTAAACCCTGCCTGGGAGGGAAAAAAAAAAAAAAAAAATATTCAAGATTAAGATTAAAAAAAAAAAAGTACCAATTTTGCATGGAAAATATGAGATGGGGCCAGAAGCATTGGTATATCTCTTTAATCAAATCACACTCTGATTCCCATTGGTTTTAGTGGTGAGCTTTTTAGGAGTCAGAAAAAAACCCTGTTTTACACCATTGTATTTAGACACACAGATAAATTACATTTATGTGGACAATTTTCTATTGTTTTTCTTGCTTGCAAGAGATAGATTTCTCAATGTTCATGTTCGTTTAATGTAGGGTGGATTTTGAATGTGTCAGTTTCTCAATCAAGAAAGCATAATGAAGAACAAAAGTATTATCAAATGGGCCAAGTGTTTGACCTTTTTAGGTCTGTGGGAAACACCCCTGCTCCTTGAACTGTGAGACCTGCGAGTAGCAGCATGCTCCCTCTGTGTTCTCCAGCCATCAGGATGGAAGGAGAGACATGCTTTACAGCACAGCTCACTGAAGAGCAGTGCAGTTGAAAACATGGAATCAAGGCCAGATACTGCCAGGGCCATCATAGGGTCTCCTCAATGCAAACCTCTCTTCCCCTTCTGCAGCCAAAGCTAGTATCCTCCACCTGTTCCCATGCACCTCCTTCCTCCTGCTTTAGCTCCTTGCTCCAGTTTCCCTTTCCTCCCCAGCTCAGCCTCTCCTCGCTTTAATTCCTCGATGCTGTGCTACTGTTCTTGGGTCTGGCACCCGGTGCTACAAAGCCAAGAGTCAGAACTACAGAGCAAGTCCTGGCAAGGCACTCTCTGACAGGCCTGCCGGTGCAGAGGGGGCTGCCTGCATTTAGCACCTACAAGCTGGCATGTCTCCGCTCAGCACTGGGAAACTGATGCTGCTTTTTAACTATGCTCTGGTTTGGATACATTTACAATGATAAAAGGTGCACTACTGATGCCGTCTCAGCCAGATCTCCAAGCCCTAGCTGAAAACATGTCGTTCTTGGAGAGATTCTCTATAGAATAGCTATTAGCATTTTGGTTTAATACATACAAAACAACATATTTTCTAATAATAGAAACAGCTAAAACATACTGCCTGGCATTTTTACAAGTTATTCTGCTTCAGGCTCAGAAAATTTCTGTGTGAGCAGTTAATATCTGCAGAGTTATAAGTTACAGAAAACGTGAGGCACTCCTATTTGTAGACAGCACTGATAATTCTACCTGTAGTTTGAAATGGAGAAGAAACCTTGTAAACATCAATGTTGCTAAGGCAGCAGATGAAATTGATTGATAGTTTGAATTGCTGCTCTGTCCTATAATATGATGTACAGCTAAACCTTAACAGCTGCTTGCACAACATCCTCTTCCCCCTAGATCATCAGCACATGACACGCGTACAGGCACTATAATGACAGAAAATCCTGACGCCGTATGAGAAGCTCGGCTTGCTAGCCAATACATCATCTCTCTACTGAGTGTGAAAATACATTGTTTTTATTTAAGTTCACTATGTTTATTTCAGTGTTTAGTATTTATGTGCCTATGGATGAGAAATATCAGACAAAAATGCATATATTATAGGTTTTTATCATACTGTGTCTTCAGAGATTTCTGACTTCAGATTAATCTTTAACTGCTGTTAATCCAGCACCAGAGCAAATGGTAGTGGTTTAGCAGCAGTACTATCCCACAGCCACATTGCAAGAGTAGCCTTTGGTAATTTCATCCTGCTTCAAACTCACCCTTTTTCTGGGGCTCTCTCTTTACACTCGATACTTAAAGTAACTATTTTGCAACTGTTTTCTGTTACAGGGTTTCGTCTGGGAAGTGTATTTTCTTCTGTTCATCAGCTGTGGATTATGAGCATTTGGGTTTGAATGCACGCTCTTTTTATCCGTGATGACAATTGTTTCACAAAATTCTGCCAAAGACAAAGCCCCAGCCTCCTCCAGCCCCAATTAATGTGTCTTAAAGAACAGGCTGCCTCCAATCAATTATAATTATAGATCAATTATAAATTTTTAAGAAGAAAATCTCTTCTGCAGAGGATACCTACTGCAGTATTAGCAGAGTCACTTAAAACCCCCTTATGATGCTGTAACATGCCTTGTCCTTGCAGAGCTGAGCTGGCAGGTGGCTGCAGCTCTCAAATCCGCTGTAGGACCAGTTTATGGGAAAGTTCATACCTCCACAAGAGGTGAGCATGGGTCTCTTCTAGAAATGCTGCACCACTTCAACGGGGCAAGGTAAGGTGGTACATGATTTAAAAAACAGCAAAAATATGTTTGCATAGGTCCCTTCTTTATTCTACATAGTTTGAGAATGGGAGATGGCACGAATGTTTTCACTGTTGTCATTGTGATGGTGCATTCAGGCCTGAGAATAGTTAGGACTAATACACACATTAAAATCTGGGAAAGTGTTTTTTTTTTCAGTCAGCCTTTTACCTATTAACCCATTTTAAACCCTCCTTGGATTAGAGGCAGGAAATTGAAACTTTCAATAAAATGTTAGTTGATTTCAGTAAACTTAATCCTTTACACTCGCATACCTTATAGATGTTTATATCTCTTAAGTGGGTGTAAGTGCTCACAAATCACAATTTCACAGCACCAAAACAGTCCTACTTACTTACAAGGTGTAAATAACCAGGATAATATACATAATAATTAATGTAGAAGAACAAGATATACTACAACTCTTCATTGCAATCATTTTGCTTACATTTATTAAAAGGGCAGCCCTGATACTAATTTTTTATAGTATGTACACGTTGTTATATTAATCACTGAAAGCCTTGTAAAAAATAAAACATTTCCCTTGTTAATTTCTTACGAAGCAGAAGGATTGTTCTGTATTTCCTTCTCTCCTTGCATTTCCCTCATAAGAAACAGATAAGAGACTTGCAAGCTTTTCGCTGTCAGGTTAGAGGATACAGTGAGATAATGACAGCAGAATACATGAAGCTAAAGCTCTCTCAGCCTCAGAGAGCTAAGAAAATTCAGCTTTCTAGCTCACTGCAGTTTCTCTGTGCCTATTTAGGGAGCCAAAACCCAACACTGTGTAATGTTCTGAGCTGAAAATAGAAGCAGATCAAAAAAATTAGAAGATGTAGAAGAATAGGGAGCGAACCACAGTTTGAGACTGCGTATGTTTTCAAGGAGGGATACATCATATTTACTCTTTGTGTCACAACAAAGAGCCTCTTGGTAAGTTCTTTGTCCTGCTCCTAGGAAAGGGAGGCTGCTCTGCCTCTGCTGTACACTGCCCTGTCTGTAAAAGGGGCAAAGCATGATGCTGCAGACCACGGGCTCATATGGCAGAGGATACCATCACTCCAGTAAGCCTTTTGCAGTTTGACACTACATTCTCGTTTTTTAATTAGCAAAGGTGCCACTGAGCTTTGAGGATGCAGGGTCTGATTTGTATCCAAACAGAAGAGTCCCTTATGCAGTCATTTATCTTCCTCTGACACGTTGTTTCTGTCTCCACCCAGAGCATGCTTCTTCCTCACTTACAGTTGTCACAGTCAGCACTTAACTTACACAGTCTCTCATCCTGAGCTCCTTCCTCTGTGAGATCTGGTATTATTATTGCTTATTATTTGCTACATACTTGTGGTCTCAGAAAATGATGGCTGTTACCGCTGAAACCAGCACAGGGAAGATGCCTGCCCACCTTCGGGTGACAGGAGGCAAAGAAGGGCTGTGCCATGTAAAATGGAGGTCACAGTCTCCCTGAGCTTCTCATCACAATGTTATCAGCTAATACATATGAACAGCCCTCACTGCTCAAATTCTTGCTGAATGAACATTGACTTCTTTGCTTGTCTTTCCCCTCTTCCCTGCTTTACCTCATGCCTCAGTCAGCACTTCCCTCTAGGTTCTCCCCTTTCCCATGTGCCTGTGATGCCACAAGACAGCTTCATTGTCTCCATGTGTTCATCCCTGCTTCTCTTCCCCTGATTTCCTTCCTCTCTCACACAGTTAGCACCTCCTCTGCAAAACTGTTTGAGAATGCATCACTCCTGCTTACCGAAACCATGGCAGTGACTCTTGGCATAGCCGGGACTGCTTCCCTGAGCCGCACTGTGCCTGATGCCACCAGCCCCTGCCAAGCAGGCGCCATTTGCCGTGGTGCAGCTTGACAGTGCCCTGCAGTATGCCCTGTTTTACATGCTCACCTTTGGCCAGAGCAGCAAACAGCTAATATGTGAAACCCCTTACACAGCCTTCCTTAAGCTCATAATAAGATCTCTGAAAAACTCTTCACCTGAAAACCCAAATTCATTTGCTAGCCCAGCAGCCATGCTCTACACCTTCCACCAGTTCAGCAGAGCTGGCCCTCTCATCCTCCAAAACCAGCTGCAGAAGGAACAAGACATCTCCCAAGTGACTCAACTTAGGTGTGCATAGTAGCCTACTTACTGTATCCCCAGAAGCACTGCCACAGCTTCAAGGAAGTCTTGTTATGAAAGGTGTGGGAAGAGATAAAGATGAACCTGGTGAGTCACAGGAGCATGCTGGGGGCAGAGCCTGCCTTCAGGACTTGGGAACACTCCCACCTCTAAGACCTGGTAATAGGCAAGAAAGAAGGAAGCAATTAATAATTAAAATAATTGTGGAATAAATTAGGATAATTAGTATCCTTATTTATCTTCCTAAGTGTTGTCCAAAACTGGAATCTTGACATTCCAGGCCCACCAGTTTTGTGTCATTCTATGAAGTGGAAGCATTCCCTCATTAGATGAGTTATAATCTGTGGCACTGTCTGCCTGGGCAAAGGCGCAGCTCCTCAGTTGGAAGGATGCATTGAACTGGGAAATGGGGGGAGCAAAGCAACGGCAAAAACATTTGGCACTCCAGATATTTTGCACCCCTGCCCAGTAGATGGGTCTGTCTTGGTGGGCCAGAGGTGCCAGTTCATAACCCACTGAGCCCATACATAGGGCAGACAGGCTGTGAAGCACTGAGCCTGCTGGGCTTGGCATGGGAGAGGAGGTACATGAGGTTTTGGGATCCACAAAGAGAAAGCTGTGGCAGAAGATGGGTAAAGATAACATAACTGTGCCTCCTGCACTCTCCTCCCAGAGACACACTAACCCCACAAGCCCACATCTGGGGTTGCTGCTGTGCTCCTGAATTTCCTCTGCTTTTTCCAGTCACACCACAGTTACAGTTGGCCTAAATGAAGGGTTTTAACCTGTTTAGTCCTGCAGCTTAGCCACGTGGTTAGTAGTCTTGCATGCAGTTGTGTCTCTAGTTCTTAGGACTCCCAGGTGCTCTCCCACACCAGTATGGGGAGGGCCCAGGATTAGCTTGCACAGTCAGATGTGCTTAGGCCAGTGTAACTTCATCTTACAGAAATGTAAGGTATTTCCTATGCAGAGTTTTATTGCCTAAACCAGTGTCATATCAAGGGTGCCCAATCAGCAGCTATTTGGGTGCAGGTAGCAGAAAGGAAGACACCCCTTCCCTCCCACTCCTGCCAGCTGAACCTGTGCCAGTCACCCAGGGATCTATGAGGCTGCCAGCACCAACCAACCTGCCCTACACTGGCATGGGGTGGCTGGCAAAACCCCCAAAGCACAGCCAAAGTACACTAATGGGGTCCACAGAATTGCAGGGATCTCTGCCATGTGTTAAGTAACAGGAAACAGAGAAAAAGATGTTAGAGAAATAATGTGGGGAGGCAGAAGAGAGAAAAAGTAAGGGCAAAATAGGTAGTACATCCCATGTTTGCATGAAGCAATCTAGAGCTCTCACTACCACAAAACAACACAGTATATGCCTACATAGTGATTTCAGATGGCTAAAGAACTTTAACAGGCAGCTTCTGAACTTGGCATACACAGTTCACATTGTACTGGCAAAGGCAGTAAATTCTCTATGCTGCATGAGCCCAGCCTTTAGTTTTCTCACTCGGTTTGTGTTAAATCACAACTCTGACTACTGTCAGGAAGAGCATCCTCTGGGTAAGAAGTGAATAAAAACTGCCAAGTGCTCCATCACTAACGAGAAGTTTGTGTTACAAAAACAGCCATGAGCGTTGCAATGACATTTTCTCCATTATTTTTCCTGCGTGTTTTCCTTTAAAAATTACCCAACTTTTAGGAGTTAAAAAACCTCCTCTGCGAGGTTCCCTGCAGTAGACAAAGCTTAGTGGTGGGAAGGCCTGCCATCTGCATTATTAAAGTCACATGTAAGCACCATGGGAAGCTGACAAGATGCTGGAGACAGCATAATGAACTAAACTTTTGTACTGTTCATACTTCCAGTGATTCATAAAATATTGATAGCAGTCCTGAGCGTGTGGTGGCCAAGAGGGAGGCCACTTCACCCACAAGGAATGTGCTAATGAAAGGACACAATAGGATTTTATGCTCTGAGAAATTCCCCGGAGGGAAAATAGCTCCGCTTTTCACATTTGCATTGAATGGTAAGAATAAAAACAGGTGGGAGAGCAGGAAGAAAGTCCCATCTTGAACAAAAGAGAGGGACAGAGGGCTTCAAGTAGGCTGGGAGATGGAGATGAGGAGTAAAAAGGTAGGCTCCTAGAGCTCAGCCATGGGCTGGGTGGTCTATCTAAACATTCAGCATAAGGCTGCTATTAGTTGACTCATTCTTTATGAGACCGAGATAGGCCCCAAAACCCCTAAATGACAACTAGGCAACAACCAGGCATCAGGCACACCCTAAACTGCATTTTAATTTCCTCTTTTGTGACATCAAGAATGCAGCCACCTCCTTTGCTGGAATAGCACACACTCTTCTGCATTTAAGCCTGTTCAGTGTTAGCAGTGAATTCAGGGAGAGCAGCAAACACGAGATGCGTTTCTCCTGGGAGCAGTGAGCAGGGACCTCCTTGGGGCTACCAGCAGAACGACAGCGATCTGGGGAGAATCACACGGACTGGCATTCATGTTTCATCCCACTCCAGGCTTGCTTAATTCAATCCAGATGAGCAGTTTTCCTGAGGACACCCAGCCACTCACCTGAGACTGCGAGCGGAGCCGTAGAGGCAGGCAGCTCGTCTCACTCAGCTTCCACCATTGGTTCCAGAGTCAGTTCCACTTGTGCAAACCCACTGACATGCCCCCAAGGGCAGGAACTGAGCAACGTGGTGAGGGGTTTTCAGACAGCACATGGAGTTTGAGTCTAATTCAATATCTTCATAGTGCATGTTTAACATAAGCACTGGAGTGATTCTGTTGTGCTCAGAGTTACACACACATTGCAAGTAGAAAATTAACATGTACTTGCTTGTAAATTCAGTCAACAGAAAAAGCCAACCTGGATATATGAAATTGAGAATGTCATCTATACACTCAGCCATCAAACACTAAATTCTTCATTTTTTCCTAACTTAGTGTAACCTGTTACAGCCAAATTACATTTACTGAAGCTACCACCAGTCAACACAGCCCAGGTTATAGTCCCATCCAGCTGGCAACTGATCTTTTCCTTCCTTATTCATTTATGTTATTACTGAATGTAATATCTTACCTGTCACTGGAACAATTTAAGACAAAGTCAAGCTTTTTTCTTGTATCTTTATTATTTTAACAATGCATTTGCACACAGAATGAAAGTGATAATTTAAATAAGACTTAAAAAAGACAAAGACTTACCTATTTGAGCTGAAGAGTGATTTCTTTCTAAGCCACTTCCAGTAAGCAGTAGTTCTGCATGTGTAGTGAATTCCGTGTTTATAAATGTTACTATAGTAACTGTATCCCCAGCCATAGGCTGGTACTTACTGTTCTGGTTACCTAGTGAGCAGCAAGGTAAAAAGGGGATGAAAAAGAAACACAGTATTGCAGGACAGCTTTGCTCTTGAGGAGTCAAGAAAGGACTGCAGTAAAAGTATTTTTAATACGTATACTAGCTGGTGTCTTACAGTATGGAATAGGGCAATGTTTTTCCCACTAGACCCTCACAAACACCATGAAATGTAAACAAATATTCGGGTATTTAACCAAAGTATCTACTTTATGACAACTTCTCTTTGATTTTACTTACATGGAAGCAAAAGCTTCTTAGACTTTTAAGGACCCTGAAGAATAAGGTGAAAGGATAAGGCTGTTTACCTAGGCTGTAATGCCATGAACACCCTGCGTGCAGCTTCAGGCATAAATGCACACTGAGTGGTCTTAGCAAAGCATCAGGGGAGTTACACATCTGTGTGAAAACAGCAGTCGTATTTTCACAGTTGAAGCTAGTAATTCATTTGTGGGCAGCCTTAATGGTGGGTTAATTATCACTAGTTTGCTATTTAAAGGAGAAGCTGGCGCTGTCTTTTAATAAAAAGAAAAAGAAAAAGAAAAAATAAATCCCACACTTCGGGATGTAAAGGCTACAGCTCCCAGAAAAACTGCCTGTGTTCAGGCACGGATATTAAGTGGTCCACAGGAGGCAATACTTTGCTCCAGATGCACTCTTCACTTGTAACATTTGCTACCGAGGAAGCGCAGTGGGAAAGCTGAAAGTGAAGCTAAGCAAGAGCAGTTTCCTTTTCAAGCCGGAGAAGAAAGCCTAACCCTAACTGGCAAGAAATATGCAAGCGAAGAGGTTCTTAAGCGGCTGTTGCATACATCGCTAATCTGTTATTTGAAAATACGATTTAGGCACTCTAAAAAATAGTTAAACCCCCTATAATTCTCTCTCAAATTTACGACGAACTGGAGGGTTTGTTTCCCTTTATTTTCCGCGACGCTCGGGGCCGACGCCGCCGAGGGCAGCCTTCCCTCCACCTTAACAGTCTGTCTTAAAGCCCCGGGGATGGCAGCAGCCATTTTATGGGTCGCTGTCACGGCTGCTGCGAAGCCCGAAGCCAGCCCCGGCCTCCCCCCAGGGGCAGGTCCCAACCTCCCCCATCTCCCCCCCCCCCCCCCCCCCCCGTCAACCCCCTGTTGATTTTAAAACCTCAGCCAAAAAACACCAAACTACCAAGCCCAGATCCCCTTCTCATTAAAATACTACAGCGTTTATTCCACACACACCCCCCCCCCCTCCATCTATGCCAGCTCAATGAATAATCTGATGCTTGAAAACATCCCCAGGAGCTGAGAAAGGTGATGGAAGAGGGAGACCACGAGGAAAATGTTTTCTCCCTCTCTCCTCCACTCCAAATACTACTCCTAACTTCACACGAGTCTGGAGTCTTCGTTTCGTTTCCCATGCAAGGTGGCAAGGCCCTGGGTGTTCACACGCTGTGATTCCTTAAGGAATAATATTGCTACTCCAGGTTTACACATCAAAGAGCCGCAGATCCCAGGCAAACACGCCCAGCCTCAATCGTGACCTCCTAAACCGTGATGCCGCAGTACACAATTGTCATTTGCGGTTTCTCGCAGCTCGACCACGGGTTTTACATACGTGCAACGGAGCGTAACTGCCTCAAAACCAAAGCACTGTGCATAGCGTGCAGTTTCTGTGGCGGGATCACTTAATTTTGTCTTTCAATTAAAAGGTAATCCCTTTGCGACAACTTAAGTTGACCTGCTGTTAACACCTGTCCGTGAACAAATAAAACCCCCAAAGCAAAACAAACAAACAAGAAACAAGCCCCAAAACCATGATGAGAGGAGCTGGGCGAGAGCATTTGAAACTGACTGATGTTTATATATTGGATTAGAAGCCAGCTGCGCGAAAAACACACCATTTAAAGGCGGCTGCAAAGCACGCAGTGCGGAGGTGCAATGGTTAATTCAAACAAAGTAATGTCACTACAAGGGGGGGACCGAGGTTGGGCAGCCTCGCGGGCTCACCGGGCCTCAGGAGCGCCGCCTGTGCCGCCTCTTTCCAGGGCGACTTTGCCCGCAGCCCCCTGGGGCTGCCCTGTACCGGCCGCCGCTTACGAGTGCCACCGACATCCGCTCCTCCGCGGGGCG